GGTGCAGGTACCATTAAGTGGGGAACCCTAGCCAATAATCTGGTTATTTTCTCCTCATAATGAACATTTGTGCGATGCAGTTTTCAATATATTGTATGCACAAACCCTGTGTAAAGGACTTAATGTACAATGGACACCACAAGCAGTGTGTTGAATCTGGTTCACCTTACATGTTTTTGCAGTCAGAGTATGTGTACATATTGTTCTGTTATGTTGTGAAAGGTCTTTTACCTCATATATATCTCCATTGTTTTTATTTTTCTCTGTATGTGTGTGTTCATACAGAGAATGTCCTTCAGTGAACATAAATAGTTGTATCTGAGTCTGAGATACCCGTTAAAGTTTGAGGATTTTCTGAAAAATGTAATGTATTTTTACAGCTGCACAGTTTTTGGTTATGCATAATACACTGTGCCTGTTTAAAAATTTTGTTCTAATTTGAGTCATAGATTTTATTGTAATAGTCCTTGTTGTTTCAGATCTGAACTTGGTCGATTGGAGTCCGAACAACATTCTGGCATTTGCTCTTAACACCAGTGTGTATCTGTGGAAAGCTGGTACTGGTGCTACTCAGAAGTTGCTCAGTCTGGAAGGGAGTGATTTTGTGTTCTCTGAGTTGGATGCAAGAAGGAGATTGTCTCGCTGTGGGAACAAGTATGGGAGTTATACAGGTTTGTTATGTTACCCAAAAAGTATATATTTATCCACTAACAGATTTTTTTTTATTATTATTGTTCTGTCTGACAACAGGTCCATATGAACAGGATCCTTCCATCCTTTTCTCGAACTGGAACCTGTTCATATACGTTCTTGGCAGATGATCCAGAAGTGGTTTGCCATTGCCTTCTTCTGTGTGTATGGAGTATGAAGTAATTGTTGGGCATGTAAATTGTCTGCTCTTGAAAGATGTTACCTTCAAGTTAAGTGGGAAATGTAGATGAAACACCTGTATTCTTTGATATGACTCCCAACTTGACAATATTCATGTTAAACATGGCTATGGGCTAACTTAGAATAACAGTAGGTGCTTGGAAAATCGGACACTCTTTGTTTTTCTGAAAAGAGAAAATCAATGGTACCCGAGGGAAAATTAATTTAGAAGTTTTGATGCAGCTTGCAAATTATATATTATTGAAATTCAGGTATGATTTAGGTATGCACATGGCTTATATTCATATAAATATGGTGGTGTTATTGGTAGAAGGAACAATCAGATGGTAAAATGTATTTTAAATAACGTGGTTGAAGAACGGAGCAAGGTTCAAAGTGGCAGTTACAAAATGTCATGTAGCAGCTCCTCATTGAACACAATCACAGTGTGAAGAAAACATTTGCTATTAGTTTGTTTGGATATTTATTCTTGCAATTACATTTCTTTTTCTTAACTATTTATGTGAACAGTATTACTGTAGTACTGCAATCGCCCTGATGACGGAGGCAGTATGACCTCTGAAACATTGGTTAACATCGACCAGACTACACAGCGCAACAACCCAGAAGACAGAACTCGTCATACTCACCGCTGTGAAAACCTCAAATCTTACAATAAGTCTGCTGTCCCATTTTTGAATTCTCATTGTTTTGTAATTTTAGAATACTCAAAATGATTAATTGAATTGTTTTGCTTTTAAAGTTGTGGGATTGCAGCAACATGAAGCGAGTACGTATCATGGGCGGTCACTCGGCACGTGTCAGCTCTCTGTCGTGGAATTCCTACATTCTGAGCAGTGGTTCTGGTAGTGGTCAGATAATTCACGATGATGTTCGACGGAGAGATCACAGTGTGGCTGGGTTTTCCTCTCATACACAAGAGGTGAGAAACCGTGCATAGAGAACTTCCGGAGGATGGAGCCAACAGTTTGTGCTAACTATGCAGAATCCATTGGCATGTTTACAGACAGATTCATTCCCACAAAACTAAATAAAAGTCTACTACCCATCATTTAATCACTTCTGCTGACAAAGTACAAACATTATCTAGGCCAGTTTTAACAGTACCCTGGTCTGCTATCCCTCCCCACCACACCAAAGGGCATGCCATAATGTACGCAGTTAACTGCAGGGACCTAAGTTTCTGTTCAGGATAGTGATATATTCATGGCAGGAAAAGATTATAGTTTTGGGAAGGAACACTGGCGCTACGAATCTCGACACACCTTCCACATATCAAAAGTTCATTGTTACATTATTACCACTAAGGGAAAGTTTATGAATGAAAAGTCTCGATATCTGTGTTAAACATTTTTTCATCCTCTTAGTTCATAATAGTCCAGGCCTATTGATAAGAGCCCTGAAAGGGCCACTTATAATCTCTCTCCTTACCCAACTTCTCTCTAGCTCCTTGTTTCCTATCAGCCGAGACTGTCCATCTTCCTTGCAGTTAAAGTGAATCTGCAAAACCTGATTTCAGACCACTGTAAAAAGGCACTGTTTCAGATAAGTGTTACTAAAATGCTATGTCACTTTGACAAATGTGCATTTTCCCCCTCCCATCCCTCTTTAACCTCTGGTTTTAGATTAAAGTATTGACATGCATGCAGTCTCTTGAGAAAACTCCCACGGTCATAACATCATTTATATTAGATGTGTTATAGTATTTTCTTATTGATAACTTCGCTGTTTCCAGGTTTGTGGACTAAAGTGGTCTCCAGATGGTAGATACCTAGCTAGTGGTGGAAATGACAATATGCTGTACATTTGGCCAGTTGTTGCAGGACGAGCTTACTCACAACACCAACCTTTATACTCTCTCAGGTAAGTAGATACTTGACGATGTAGTTTCGTATTTGTGAGATGAG